TGCCGAGGGTCCAGCTAAGTATCGCGTAGTTCGCTACGATCGGCAGAATGCATGAATGCAATGCATCGACTTGTTGGGTTGGCATACACGCCCTGAATTAGTCATGGAAGTGGATGGCGCCATCTGTTTGTAGAAGAACCTTGTCATCCAAGGGGCGATGCCATCACTTCCATGATTGTTTCTTGGAGTGTACCTACACCTGCTCATGGCATGGTCTCTTGCTTGCAAACGTCACTTGTGCTGGATGTGTCTCTGTGGCATGAATGCAGACACGCTTCCGTGCTAGTTTGGATGTAGATTCCATCTCGGTTCAGCTGAGACAGTACTAGAAAGATGTTGGGCTTGAGCACTTGGACATCTTCAGGTTCTTACCCTGCACACCTTGGCTGACCATGGCTTGCGCCTGTTTTCTTTTTGTGGCTCACAGGTAAATGAAAACATGAGCTTCGCAGGATCTTCAAACCTCAGAACTCTAAAACTGAGGGTCTATAGGACCGAATTGAAGAGAGGTCAGTGCATATCATTCACCCCAATCACCAAGGTTCAACAACTTCTGCAGCTTTGAAGGTGTTTCGTTTTTGGGGTCAAAGATCTTTACAGGGTTTTCCAACAGAAGACGAAGCAGCCCAAGCAACGACCAGTGGCAGCGGCACGTCCAGATCGGACCCTTTAGGCGCATGTCCCGTCCGCGCAGGGCGAGCGAGCCAGCGCCGGTCCCGTGGCGGTGAACAGCTTGTCCAACCAAACCATGGTAGGTCAAGACCATGGTCTGTTCCCATGGTTTGGTTGGGAGGAAACGTGAAAAAAAAATGCCCATGCCAAACCCCCACACCCGACATTCAATGCAAAACTCCAAAGTCATTGGCTTGGAAACAAGTAGATCTGGGAGGGACCTGATGTCATGTTGGCACTGTGGTCGTCGTTCTTGATCCTGGTAAACAGCTCAAGAGAGCCATAAAATCGACTCGAAAGGGTCTTGTTTTTGGAGATCTGGCTCACAGGAAGTATAGATTCTGCTGGATCAAGACTGCTTCAACACAGGGCCAAATCCTTTCTCGGTTTTGGCTGCTTTACACGTACTTGTACAACCTTTGTGTGTTTGCATAATGGGAAGTGACTTCATTGAGAGAAGCAGAAGGCAGCGGAAGTTAACATTAACATCCACCCAGAAATCTGTTGCACTCCCTGAAGTCATCATGGAAGTGGGTGGCATTATTCCTGTACATGGCAAGGCGGTGCCACTTACTTCCAATTTTCCATGCGAACACATCGCGAAGAATCCTTTCTAGACGATTCGAGACATGCTGAGACTCCCAGTTTGCATATTCGCTTGGGTTGTCCATGGCTTGCGATTGGTGGTCCAAGAACCCTCAACGGGTGCGGGTCAAAAGGAAAAAGGAGAACACCTCCAAAACATCTAGCAGGGGGGGGCCTATGTTTATCATTGTTTATCCTTTTGATGCGCATCAACACATATATCAGAATATGTCACCAAGGGCTCCTGGCCTTACTACTAGGAACAAGAAGCTACTAGGAACAAGTGCATCGCTTCTAGTAACAAGTGCCTTACTAGTAGTAACAAGGACGCTACGAACGGGGCTCCTGGCCTTACTACTAAGGCATGGATCTGAAAGGGATCAGTGTGGATACCTCGAACTGGGACTCCACACGACCAGAGGGGATTCTTTTGGGGAGGGCGCCCGCATCGTGGGACCGTTGTGACAGCTTGATGGTGTCTGACATGGACAACGATATTACCTGAAGACATAGCTTCCTGTATTCGGGTGTTTTGCCCAGATGTGTGGATGTTAGAGGATATTTGCCCAGATAGCTATAGGGGTTCTTACTTCTCAACGACTATAGGTGGGCGGATCGACGTTTTGGTCCCACCGCGGCCGCTCCCTTGTCTCCTCCCCACTGGCTTGCCTGTGCGATCTCCCCAATTGTCTCTCCACTTGTCTCCTTACATGTCTCCCCACTTTTCTGCCTGCCTGATTCGCGTTGGTACAATCATGCCGCTGCTGCCTTGTCTCCCCACTTCTCTGTCTTTTTTTGTATCCTGTCTCAGGTGCTTTGTTTCTAGAGTTGGTTGCCACCGGTGTAATTTTACAGATTTTGATCAATGTCGATCTCCTATGATCTCCTTAGATAGCATCTAAAATTGTAGTAGACATGTCACTTCTCAAGATTTGGCCAAGAAGGGCTTCGGGCTCCCGGACACGCTGCGCGCAACGCAGCGTTGCGCAACGCGTCGTGGACCCGCAGCTCTGAGGTTTTGCGATCTTGGAACTCTCCGTATGCGAGATCGACGTGATGAACCCGTACATGATGCCTCAAGGATGCAATGGGGTCGCAGGGTTTAGCCAACAAAGACCTCAATCAACCTCACTGGTTAGGCAACCATCAAATCATCCTTGGCCTGCAGTTGTTGTGGAATCCAATGAGAAGTGCAGCGGAGATGTACCGCAGATAGCTTTTTAATGTTGTTTACATGTCCTGAAATCCGCTTTAGGATGCTTTAGGTGATTGTGTTGACCTCCTTAATATATTACTGGTACGTAGCTGTTCACCTACTGTACCAAGGCATGTGAAAGCTATTCTGGTCACAGCGAGACCAAGACGTCAGTGTATCCACTTCCGGCAGAAACTGAGGCAGCAGATGGGTGGAGGGCCCCCTATGATGGGGTCCCCACCCATGATGAAAGGCAAAGGGAAAGGACGCACCAGTCATGGTCTGCGGTGGGTGCAGTGGGTCATGGGGTGTAGAGGCACATGCGACGTGTAGAGTTGAACAGTTCTTTTTCGACGGTGAAGGGGGCAAGGTCGCAACTTGGAACCCAGAGAGCGTCTTTTCGATCATGCCACATACACACAAATGGTCGATACCGTGTCGATACCGTGTGGAAGTGAAGCAAGCCATGTCCCTGCCCATGCTTTTGTTGATAGTTGCTCCAACTTCCTATGCAACTTCAGCGTTTTCCATATTTTTACGTGGAAGCTGACATTTTGGTGAAGTGGTCCTTGGACAGCTTCAGTAACGTCAATGCCGGCCACAACGCCTTGTGTCAATGCCCAGTATATGGCCTCCAAAGCGTGGGCTTAAGTGAAGAAGATGGCATGCAAGAGCCACAGGGAGTTGGAAGCCTCCTTAAAGGGATGGGCCAAGCATCGCAAAATGAGCCTTGGAGTTTTCCTCCAGCACAGTTGCGTTTGGTGGGCATCACTATAATTGTTACACACTCAAACTCATATACATTCACTATACCTTCACCCGATCGTCCAATATTCCACGATCGGCAGCCCCGATGTTGGATGAGAAAAACAGATCGAGAGCCGCCACAAATGGTTGGCATATGTTGGCATGGCTAGAACTTTGGAAGCACCTTGATCACAAGCCTCGTGGCCTACGGCACACGCCGCTTCCTTTTTTGGGTCCTTTAGGTCCTTCATGAACATGGAAAACAGAAAACATCAAGAAAAGAAGAAGATACGAAGAAGCAAGACGATGCAAACAGAAGACATCAGAACCTGCCCATTTTTGTCGCGTCTTCTAGGCTGATTAGCTGCATTTCGGCCCCGTTTTGCAGGACCCAACATGGGAGCGATGGGCGGATGTATGGGGCCTGCAGGATGGGACGGTGTGGTTTCGGCTGGGCGATGGGGAAATCGGAACATCCAGGACTGGGAAGAACATGGAATTCTAGTATAGCTTCTTGTTACTGGTAGCGATGCTCGGGTTCCTAGTAGCGATGCCAGGAGCGCCCCCCAGTAGCGAACATTGTTACTATAGATGTTTTTTTGTCCTAAATTCAACATCCTTCAATGCCTGCAGCCCTTGCCTGGGGTGTTTGTTTTGGGGCATGCAAAACATGCCACACGCCTTGTTGGTAGCCAGAAAGGGCTTTGTTCGTTTTTTCTCGGCGAGGCTGCATGAGGCCTCCTGGACCGATGGGTGGTGGTGGTGGTGGTGGTGGTCTTCCGCCCATCATAGCTCCCAAGATGGATGCTCGGCGTAACGGGGGAGGCGTTGGAGGCCGAAGTGGGGTCGGTGAAACGATCCAAAACAACGACTTTTGGAGCTTCTAACGGTAAGGGAGGTGAGAATTGAGAACGAACACACCCATGCAGACATTCAGACACTTTTTTGGGGGCGAGAGAGCATGCCAAGAAGTGTGAGACATGTGCGCATGTCTCTTAAAAGTGGGAGACCCGCTCCATGGGTGACACATACAGCTATATATGTCCGCTTCAGGATCTTGAACCGGAGTGAGCTCTCCTGAGTCCCAGAGACTCTCCATGTGTAAAGGACGCCAAGTGAGCTCTCCATGACCTATGAGACGGCTGAGTTTGGAAATAGGGGGAGCCTGCCATATAACCGCATCACCCAGGTCATGCCGCCCAAGCAGCAGATCAATCCGAAGCCCTGTGGAGCTTCAAACATGCCTTGCAACATGGCCTCCTCGGCCAACATGACGCCTTTGGGGGGGCCCAAGATGCAAATCCGGCCACAGGCGCGTCTCGGGCATGACGTTTGGGCGAACGGGGACCGTTGTCTTGGCGGGTAGGAAACCATGGCAGGCAGCTTTGTTGTCTTTTCGGGATTTGTATTGGAATTGGAACTGTTATTTGGAGATTTCACGCCAGAGACACGAACGAGGTGGCCCGCTTCACTCCCCCGTTTTGCCTGCCACCAAGAGATGCAGGCGCCAGCTATGCAGGCACTGGGTGGGCCCAAGCCACCCGGTGTCCCGCCGCCCAAGAACATGGCCATGGGCGGTGGCATGGGCGGCGGCATGGGCGGTGGCATGGGCGGTGGCATGGGTGGCGGGATGGGCGGTGGCATGGGCAGCGGGATGGGTGGCGGGATGGGCGGTGGCATGGGCGGCGGGATGGGCGGCGGGATGGGCGGAATGCCTGGGGCGCTGCAAATGTCTACGCCCAAGGCGTCGAGCTCGAACTCCAAGAGCTGGGAGCAGTGGGAGGACCGTTTTTTTTCGCGCAAAGGCTCGCAGAGCTAGATTCAGGCGAATGAAAGTAGACTTGGGATGACTTGGGAGATTTGGGATGCTGGGGGACGGTGAGTCCAGACCCTGAAATCCCATTCATTTGGAGCTTTCAAAGATGTTGTTGAGAAGAGAACACTCCTCAAGTTGCTTTGTCCTAGGCTCAACCAAGCTCCTAAAACAATTTATCTCACCTTCCAGCCTAGAACAACCTGTTGGAAATCTTCTTGAGGATGTACGGCAAAGGGACAGGGGCTTCGTCAGCAACCCGTTGTCTCTCTTTTGCACTTCCGTAGCCAAACCATAAGCCGTCAGCCCATGACACAGAGCCAGAGCCAAGAATGGTGTCTTCCAAGAGGACGGTCATGCCAACATTTACCAACATCTTTTTACAACGGCTCAGCCACGCCCCTGGGAGGAGAATGACTGGTCCAAAGGCGGTGGAGCTTCCAATGACTGGTCCAAAGGCTCAGCTTCCAACGACTGGTCCAGCAACGACTGGTCCAGCTCTCAAGCGAAGGATTGGTCCAAAGGCTCTAGTGACTGGAACGAGGATTGGAAAGGAGCAGGCTGGATGGACGTGAGACGGACGAGGTACTGAGGGTGGCCTGGTATTTTTTTCTTATCATAATCTTCATTTCTCATTGTTTTATGGAAGAGCAGGTGAACCTATTTCAGTCGTGCAGTTGGTTCCTGGTATTGCCGAACTTTGATACTTGTTTGCTTTGATACTTGTTTGCTTTAGCATGAACGTGTTTGAGCCACCTGATTCTATTTGTGCGCTGTATGCTGCACAGGAGATTGGAATGATTGGAAGAAGGACAAGTGGAAGAGTTGGAAAGACGACGAGTGGGGGGATGATTGGAAAGATCCTTGATGAAACACTTGCTCTAAAGTAGCATGTTGATGCATGTTACGATGTTGATGTGTTGACTGTGTTGACTAGAAAGATGCCCTTTGTGATCACAGATCCAACAAATGGTGTGCCAATGCGGCTGTGCCCCCAAGAATAAATTGGTGTCGTGACCCACAAACAATGTGTTCATACGCCATCAACTTTCCCGAAACTTGTGTTTGAGCCACCCCACGCGTCACGTGGGCACATCAAACTACAGATCTTGGACATGTCATGATGGCCTTCTTGCTTCGCCCACCTGTGGTCGGCTTTCGGTGCCTCCTTCCTCCACCTCCAAGGATTGGGATTGGCGCAAACGTGGCAAGGGCAAAGGTGATGGGAAAGGCCGCCGACGTGGGAAGGGCGACGACCTCGAAGTGGTCATCAAGGGCCTCCCTGCACAGACTGAAGAGGCGGCCATCCGGGAATTCTTTTCCTCCTGTGGCGACGCTGGGCAGTCTGTTGTTGGGGGGAACCCTACAAAAGGGAAGGGAGCAGATGTTGGGCTTTCAACACCCATCTCAAAGTTTGTCAGGGTACTTGATATGTACTTTCAGACCAGTTGTTTTGACATTCAAAACAGTTGTTTTGATGGAGTACTCATCATGAGTCGCCAAGGAAGTGACGCGCATCACAGTGCCAAGATCAGGGAAGATGATCTTTGTGGCCTTCAGCACTCAAGAGGGTGTAGACAGCGCCTTAGGCTTCAACAAGACCTTCTTCAATGGCATTTACATCGAGGCCCGGACTGTGTAACGTGGAGAACGCCGGGACCGTTGGAGGACTAGTCCAACTGCATGGGACCGAGCGCAGGTGAAGGCTGCCGCCGAGAAGTACGAGGCCAAAAGAAGCAATGACGACTTGACCGTGGTGGTGAAAGGCTTCCCCGAAGCTTCGTTTTTTGGAAGATGGGAACCGGGTAAAGGCCGACCAAACATGACCAGAAGATCCAGAAAGCATCACGGACAATTGCGACTTTCCAGTGTTCTTTGGCCCGTGTTCTTCCTGAAGAATGTCATACTCACAGTGCTTCACTTGTTGAGTGATGGGAAGCTTTTTGGGTCTTTGGACCCGCACCACACCTGATGCACGACATCCTTTTGAGTTGGGACCTGCACAAGTCACAAGTCATTCGGTCCATCATTGAAAAAGGTTTGAGTATTTCAGTTTCGACCGGCTTCTTACCAACAGGATTGTATGTATAATCCCTACCCCCGTGCGGGGTATGAAACAGCGGGGAAATCTAGGAAATGTAACTTACTATTTTTGAGGGGAGGGGAGGGGGCAAAGGTTTTGCAACTTACATTTCTGGAGGTCCCGAAACCTTCAAAATATCAACATGTAACTTCCTGCCTTGGTATTGCCAGCTGTTCCTTCTAGTGTTCCCCAGGAATATCCAGGAATCTCTGAGTCTTACATTTGCTGGAGGCCCCCCAACAACAGGGTAGGAATATTGTAATATACTTTGAACAGTGCATTTCTTCCATGACTCGCTCCTTTGAGCACAGCCTGGATTGACATGGATTCAACTTGGATCCAAACCAAACTGAGAGGGCTAGTTGAATCTGCAAACTGGAAGTTGCCCAGAGCAAGCATTCAGGATACCAGTCCCGACTTGCTGCATGCTGCAGTCCCGACGAATGGCCTCTCGCATCATGCATCATCTCTCCGTCCCATGTGTTTTGCTGGATAGCACGGAAAAGAACACATGTTTTCTTGCCTCAGCATGATCCTCAGATCCATTTTTGCTTCACAGCCTTTTTAGTCTTGAGGAGTTTCACATGGAAGAGGACTGAGACTTGTGGACCTCTGAAAGATGTGGAAGATCCGAAAAGGAGCAGGAGGATGTTTTCTCCCCCAAAACAAACTCCTCCCACGCCTTCTGCGGGACTTTCTTCATCTTTGTTCCTCTCTTCATCATCTTTGATCCAACACGGACTTGAGACCACCTCTTTCCAGACCCACTGACCACTCCAAGGACACCGCCGACGAAGCCTCCTTGAGCGCACACTTCGGCTCCTGTGGCGAGGGCCCCGTGCGGGTGAACGTGCCGCGACACCGGGACGCTCGGTGGAGCAGTGGGGAGCAGCTGCTGGGTGACCTGCCGGAGGGATGAGGTGGTTTTCCAGGATTGGGGGGGGGTAGGCCGGGTAGGGGCTAAGGAGATCCCCAAGAGGCTTTCTGGGCCACAGAACGTATTGGTCATTGCATTGCTTCATATTTGTTCCGAAGAGACCAAGACTCTTGAGGTCCTGCAATGTTGACAATCTAAGCCCGGATGATCAAAAGTAATCAAACGCGTCGAAGCAAGTTCAGTGTTAAGCATACAACAGGCCTTTAGGTTGCAGGTTGCAGACCTTCAGGTCCTACTATATTCACGTGGTTGTCCAATTGACCGGCATCTGCCGAGGATACTGGGAACGTGAAAGGTGCGGCTTTCGTGGAGATGAAAGACGAGGAATCCTTGATGCAGGCAGGACCAGAGCGCTCAACCATCCAGGGGGTAGTTTGTTGTGTAGGTTACTGTAGGTTCTGATTTTGATGGCTGAGGCAGTTTGGCGGTGTGTGGTTTACGACCAGAAGGGGACTTCAAGTCTGCAAGGCTCAGTGTTCACTGGGCGTGGGTAGCAAACAGCAAAAGAGATACCCAGTTCGTAGGACTCAAGTAGACTCGGCACAGCAGTTTTCGATGCCTAGGTTTGATGCCGTCGGTTTTGCAGTCAAACATGGTTGTGTTATGGATTGTTATGGTGTTTCATTCACTTTCCCTGTTACTATGGCTTTTCTGGGGGTCCCTTTTTGTGCGACGCATCCTGTGCATCAACGCACCTCCTTCCAAAGAGTGTGGCTCAGAGGTCCGCGTCCGTTCTGGCCACTTCGCATGTACCACAGCCAGCGACTTTGTCAGTGCTCATGGCAGGCAGCTGGAGAAAGAATGGTGTGCCTTTGGGAACGGATGAAGCCAAAAACACCAACCCCCACACCAACCCAAACCAACCCCCACACGAACGCGCTCCGGAGGCCCTCCAGCTGGACGGCTCGAGCTTCCTGGGTGCACCACTCACGGTGCGGAGGGCCACGGATGCCATCGAGAAGGGCGCCGGGAAGGGCAAGCGAGACCCTGGGCACAGAAGCGGAAGCATACGGTTTGGGCAAAAAGCATACGGTTTCGCAAACATTGATGAATACCAGGTACTTCATTCAGAGCGTTTTTTCTTTTTTTAAGCGATTCTCTTTGTTCGCGGCTCCGACAGAAGACCTCTCTTCAAGGTGCATCACAGAATTGTGGCAAAGTTGAAGTCCTCGGGTGCGGCAAGACCTCTACCAGGTGACTGAGTTTGGGGATGCATCGTCTAGATCATCGTAGATCTAGCATGCAGATCAACGTGAACTCTCATGCCACCATCGAATGGTCACCACTGGTTTGTCGAAGAGTATGCTTTGCAGGCGTCATTTTTCTATACTATGGGTCCGTTGAAATGGAGTGTTTCTTGAAGTAGAGGTTGAATGCAGGTCTTTCTTCGGGAAAGACGGCGCACAGTGACGCTCCTTTTTGGTTAAACACTGAACACTATTATAGGTCATTTTGACTTTCAAGAAGCTCGGGGCAAGTGATAATAAGCAAGACGGTCATTTGATTGGACCATTTCTACGTTTCGCCCTTTTAACTGAACGTCTGCAGCTCTAAGGACAAGGAGAAAGAGGACGAGGTGAGTGTGGTGGTGAAGGGTGGCTTGGCGTGACCAATAGCCTGTCCCTCGCGCATGTGCGTCACCAAAGCAGTACTGGAAGTGTGCTACTCTTGTAGCTAGCGCAACCACTTGGAATGTTGCTCTCTAGTGTCAGCTGCCTTAACCTCTGGTTCTGGTGTTGCAGTAGACTTCAAAGATTCCTCCCGCTAACCAGCTGTTGGGGTTGATGATTTTCTAGGTTCCAAGCCTGTTCTGGTCTGTGCAGGTGCATGCTGATTCTTCAGGAGAGCGAGAGAGTCAAACTGAAGCTGAATTTGATATGGGACGAACACCCCTCAGTGACGGTAGACTGCAAACATCTACCAGAAAAAACTCACGAAACTGAACTCGAATGCACACGAGCATGCTTGAGCATGCTTGAGCAACCAAGCTAGCACTTCAAATGGACCCCGCAGATTGTCTACTACAACTCGTCTATATACATAGTAACAACAAGCTACTAGTAGCAAAGGGCATCACTACTAGGAGCAAGGACACTACTAGTAGCTCCTGGCATCGCTACTAGTACCAAGAAGCTACTAGTAGCAAGGCTCGTCTACGGCATGGATCTTCCGCTGCCACGTCCCCGCCGCCTTCCAGGCTTCCCCATACAAGATACGGATGAAGAGACGTTGAGGAGTCTGTGGGGGCGTCGGGGGTGTCGGTTTGCCACTTGGGACGGATAGAAATCCTTCTCAAAACCACAGCGTATGCAAGCGAAAATGAGAAGATTCACCATGCAACGTATGGGGCTTCAGTTGTCACTGGGGGTTTTGCTGCAGGGAGGGGCTGCTTGGCATGCTTGATCCAGCTGATCTGAAAAAAAGGAATTATGTTTGTGATCGAGGCACAAGTGAAGTGTTGGCATCATCGGTGATACTTTTTTAGGAGATTCAAGGATGGCCACCAGTTGAGCTCGCCCCAGCCTGCCACAACTGCCAGCTGGCTTCCATTACCAGTGTACCAGGAATGGCTTCATGGTCTGCGGGGAAGTGGTCCGGATCCGCCTGCCGCGGGGGAGCGACGGCTTGCCCAAAGGGACGGCTTTCGTTCAGTTCAGCACGGAGGAACAGGTGCAGAGGTGGGCCGACCCGGGTGGATGAGCCGGTGATTCGGTTTTTCTCGAGTCATGTTGAGCTGGGGTTGACAACTGTGAACGCTTGTTTTGTTGTGTGAGCTTCTCTGAGCCCGTCCGCAGAAGTTGGGATTATTTGACCAAGCGGGGCTGGCGTGTTGAATTTGGAAGCACATATGATGTATAAAGAGTTTTAGTGGTGAACAACATTTGGATCATCAGAGACTCTGCAGGGCACTGGAGCTGGATGGCCAAGATATCTTCGGCTCCGGCAACATCAGACGCTTGGATTCAACTGCTGTTGGCCGACGGGTGACAGGCAAACACAATAGAACTCATTCAGGGGGTGGGGCAAGATTTTGTCAAGATTCAAGAAGCCATGGGTCATCCAAGAATTCTGAATCAGCTGCAGTCTGGAATCCAAGGTGTCTTCTGTATCCTTCGTTTTGTGACACTCTGCATGACACCGGGTTTGCCCTACTAGTAATAGCCATTCAGTATAGTTAGCCACTCCCCCACAGCACGCCCCCACAGCAGATCCTTCGAGGCAACGATCCGACATCGCATGACATGCAGAGCTGCTGTCCACGACGCCAACACCAACGACAACACCAACAGGAGTAGGACAATGAGTTGCATACCCTTTTTTTCCGGAAAGCATGTTCTGGCCATACTAAATCATCTGTTTCCATCGATGTTGCACCTCCAAGCATTTATATATTTGCGGAGAGCATCAGCAGACACTCATCACGTCACCAATTCCAAAGGAGCCATAGCTCCTTTTGTTGTTCGGAACGACCTTTTTTGTGCGAACATTGATTTTGGACTTCCAAAGAATCGCCAAAGAAACATTTTTTTCTTTTGTCATTCTGTTGTCACTCCATCGACTCGGTTGATCGACTTCTTTTTTGGAAACTGAGGGAGGCCAGTGAGTCTCATCAATCCACTTCAATGACGCAAAGATCGAAGAAGAATCTCCAATTGTCTTAACGGTTTGGGTCCAGCTACCCAGAGATTTCAGTGAACGAAGAGGTTTGACATGTCGCTGCTTTAGCTAGCTGGCCAGCACCTCTCTGCCATCCAAGGTGTGCATCGGGCCAATGAAAAGAGGAAGGACCACAAGGACAAAGAGAAGAACGATGATTTCACTGTTGACGCCTGGCAGACTAGTTGTTGACCACTTGTTTCACTGGACTTGGTAGTCTTGGAGCCTGGGGTAGCCTTGGACACGCACCTGGGAATGGGTTTCATATAGACGCTTTCCAACCACTCCAAACTGAGTTCCAAACTGCTACAACATGAAACTGAAGTTCAACCGTTATAGATAATGAACTCCTTTTACATCAGAATGCATGTCAACACCGCCTTCACAAGCTGAAACAAAAGCTACGGGTGGCTGTCAGTCTGTAAGTCGGCAGAAGGCTTGTTTCCGCTAAGGCCCTTCTTCAGAAGCTCACCCAAACCAATGATCAACAGACCACCAGGCCGCGACTCGCACCGGTCGGTACCCACTGAGTGCGAAATGCGAGGTGGTGCGGGGACTTCCAGACTGGGTTCAAGAAACGCAGTTGAAGTCTGACTTCGGCAGCTGTGGGCCCTTAAAGCGAGTGCCTTGGCCGGGGCGCGTTTTTGCGCCGACCAAAAAGGGCATCGTGAAGTCGGTGGGGCGGTTCACTCGACAAAACGCGGCGTGCGTGGTCTGTCGGTTTGCGGGGTTTGGGTGGTCACGATGGGTGGTTTCGCAGTCACATGAAACATGGATGTGTGTGGCGGTGCATGTTCTTTGAACATCTCGAAGTTAAGACTGTGAAATTGGTCGATTTCGACCAGAGCTGAGGGTGCGGAATGTCGCATTTCCTGGTACGACCCCACAAGACATTAGCCATGACTTTGTGGTGCAACGATTTTTCTTCACTGCCGAATTTTGGTCCAAGCACCTTAAGAATATTTTGTTTGCATATGTTTGCATGATGATGGCCGCTTGAGCTTGAGGTCTCCGTGCCAAAAGACAACAATGGCAATGGCAAAGGATTCGTGTGGAGCTCAGCTTTCGCTCCAGCTCAGGGTGCGATGATTTGTGCAAAAAAAACATCATGTGGAGCTTGCCTTTGCCACAAACAAGAGCTTTCGGAAGTTTGTTCCTTTGAGTACTTCTCCATGGACCTCTAGAACAGCTCTTCTGTCATGACAGCGTCTTTTGGGGGGCTACTCTTTGGATTCGATATCGATTTCTCCAGGAAGCGGGGCATCACCGTGTTTATCGTTGTGGTGACCACATCCCAGTCCCAGCAGTTTGAGGTCACCAAGACCCACCGGTGAGAAAACCAAGCTAGATCAAGCGGAAGGCTAGACCAAGCTGCATGCCTGGCTGCATGCAGCTGGTGGCCATGTTTAAGCCTTTTCGGTCCTTCCAATCGCAGCCCACCTCGGATCGACCCAACAGCGCGCGGTCCCGTCACGTGGCCTGAGGGCTACGTGCAGTACAAGAGCGACGACGCCGTGAACCGCGCACTGGAATGGCACAACACCTGGTACAAAGGTGTCCAGATTACCGTGGAAAAGCTTGGTGCTGACAAAGGAGACATGGATGTGCTGGGATGTGCTGCAAGATGTGGCGGGTGGTTGAGCAAGCTAGCACGTGCATAAAGGGGGGCTTGGGCGTGTGGCACGTCACATCTGGTGGCAATCCGCCGACGGCGCCTTGAAGAGTTGAGAGATTACCAGACCATTTCGCTGTTTAGAGGGTGAAATGGTTGCACTCCCGAAAACTAACATAGACATAGACCCTGACGTCCTGGTCCCTCCTGGTCCCATGGAAGACGATTTTCCTCTACCAACCAGGGGTTTTTAGGCTCCATGTTAGTCTTCCAGGGTGTAACCAAAGGTTTGGAGATGTTTGAAGGGAAAATACGGAGACCGTCACCCAGGTTTGGAGTGATTTGTGGTCCAATTTCGTACTTGCTGAGGAGCATGTCAGGTTGAGATACCATTTTCGTTGCCCAGAATGCCTCAAGTTGGGCATGTTCTCATCGACCAAATGTCATGATGGCATATACTGAGCCCACCTCCCTCTTCATACTCCCTCTTCACACGGATCAAAAAGCCCATGCCATGAGCCAGAACTTTCGGCGTTTGTTTCACATACAAACCGAGGCTTTGAAAGGGGGGAGGCGGGGATGGGACAAGATGTTATATAACCGTCGTTGGCGTTGGTTGCAGAACTTTTGCGCTGACCTTTCCATTCATTTCTCCCCTTAGCCCTCCATCGCCTCCCCTTTTCTCGCGGCCTCGCCCACCAGGACGTGGGCGCGGAGGACGGCGTGACCGGAAGGAGCGGCTCCCGGAGGGGCCCACCGTGAATGTGAGCGGCCTGAGCTACGAGGCGCGCGTGGGCGGCTCGTGAGCTTGTGGACTCTTGGGAGTGAAGGGTTGTCTAGTGAGAGTATACTTTTCCCCAATGAGATGGGACTAGTGCAAGGTACCCACCGGTTTTGCCTATCTAGTACCCAGTATAGTGGTTAGGGATGTGTGCATGTGAATTTATGAGAATTTATGATTTGAACACCACCTACTGACCATGATAATCAGGCTGTACCAATCAATTTGGAAGCTGGAGGCCAGGAATTTATGATTTATGTAATTTAAAAGTACTGGCTGTTGATGAAGTACCCCGCGCTTTCGTATCAAGATATTTGGGTATGATCTGGGATAGTTACATTGCTTGTGTGTGTGTGTGTGTTTTTTTTTTTGCGAAAGAATCCTCTCTATGAGTCCTGAAGGTTTTAGTAGTGTGGATGTTGAAATCGGCATTGTTTGGCAAGGATATGTGGTAGAGCAGTTGGATTTGGAACCTTGTAAGGGTTGTTTACCAGCAATGTTCAGAAAAGCCTACGTTAGTTGCAAATCAAGACCAACGTGTACATGTCACCCTTGGTAGAGTGAATCACAGTCTTCCCATGATATTTCCCGCCCAGTTTCCTGCTTTGGTTAAATGTGACATTCAAAACCCATGGCACTTATGATGCCCAAATCCAAGTTGTGCCAAGCTAGCATCCTTTCTCCAACTCGATTGGTCTCAGATGAGGGGATCCCGAAACCGCTTCTGGATGACCGGTTGTAATTAGGTGAAACTCATGATTTGGTGATACCCGCACCATGAGACCTTTCCTCGAACTTCAGGTGGTCGATGGCAACAAACACCATGCAAAACAGTCCAGTCTTAACACACAGTTGAATGGATGCCCCCCAACGAAACCGCGATCTTGGTTTTGGTGCTTGGCTTTTGAACTCGCATTTACCTCCACAATAGTAGCGAACATTGCTCCTAGTAGTCAGGCCAGGAGCCCTGTTCGTAGCGTCCTTGCTCCTACTAGCGATGCCAGGAGCCCCTAGTAGGGAACATTGTTCCTACTAGCGTCCGAACTTGCAAGCAACGCCGGCAGGTCGATGATGAGCCACTCGGATGGACTTTCGAAAGGCCCGAGCATCGACGGTCAGCTGGTCAGCTGGTCTTCACAGGTGAGACACAGAGGAACAAGAACGCTACTAGTATCAAAGGGCATCGCTACTAGGAGCAAGGACGCTACTAGGGGCTCCTGGCCTTACTACTAGGAACAAGAAGCTATTAGATCTATTAGGGGCTTCTTGTTCCTATAGTGGTACGATCGTCAAGGTCAACAGTCGCAGGATCCCACAAAATGAATCACTTCGCGACTGGTTTACGAAGCGACGCTTCTTGCTCCCTCAATCGGATTGGCAAATCCAAAACTGCTAGTTGGTTGTAGGGCCTGGGAATGTCCGCTAAATGTGCCGCATGAGGCAGTTGGCTTGGTGCAGGCGTTGCATCAGAAATGTGGTTAAAATTTGGATCTGGCCCCGGCTGCCCCATAGCTGCCTTTGCTCATATTTTTTAATAGATATTCACAATAGCTGATGCCTGAACATAATAGCTGGCTGTCGGTATCCAGCAAGAATAGGCAGCGTTTTGGCCAAGCATGTTGCTTCATTTAATCTTTTTGGTGGCTTGTGGTGCCACAGTAGGCATTCCTTTTGTTCCAGGGTCTTTGCCCCGAACTTGCTTGGAATCTACTCCTACCAACCGTTGATTCGGCCGTCCAGTGGCTATTTGTGGCTACTTCAACAGTCCAACTGGACCCCACCAGACACGAAAACCCGTTCTTCCGGGCGCGGTGTTTCGGACCGGACCCAGCATCCGAGGATGCTGAAGCAAGCCTTCGCAGCCTGTGGAGAGGTCGTGGCCTGCAGGGTGAACATTAGCAACAAGGGCCGTTCCAAGGGAAAGAGTCGTGGAACAGGCCAGAGGGGGAGGTTCTTTCCGCTGGACGCGCGCGAAGGAATGGACGCGTTCCAGGCGGCGTCCGTCCGTTCTGGGCTCTAGTTCTGTGTCTGGACTGACAGGCTAACGCCTGGCAGGGAAGCGAGGTGAAAAGGGAGAAGTCATGACAAGCCGAGAAATGTGAGATGATGAAAAGGTTTGTATAGTTGATAGACTTTGTGCTGAAGTTGGGGGTTGTTCGAGAATCCATAAGAATGATTGTCGCTCATACTCCAATACAAGCTGATAATTGCTGATACAGGGCTGATACACATTGATCATAGTGCTAAATATCTAAGAGGTTTCATAAATGCACGAATAACCTTCATCGTCCCGTGTGCTTGCCCCGTGGTGCGAAACAATCTCAATGTGTGCTTTGCTTTACCATGTGTCATTTGTAAGAGTTCCCGAGAATACCTGGGACTATCAGATGAACAACTTTGTTTAGGGAACGTCATGATGTGTTTGTCCGGAAATTGCCGCTCTGACGATCTAACCTTCATGTCAGAGCTCCTTTGAACAGATCGTCCAGAGAGGATTTGCTGTACGTACTCGCTCAGCGGCTCCCCTGCGTGCACGCGCACACACGCGCGCGTACTCATACAGGCTTGGTGGTCTTTGCGACCGAAGAGGCCCAAAAGAAGGCCGTGGAAACCATGGACCAGGCGCGATTTGTCGAGAAAGTCTAAGAAGCGGTCAAAAGGAGTGAATGGTTGTCGCTTGCTTCACTGGATTAAGCCTAGAAGTTGTTGGTACCGGATAAATCCTGGTAACCTTCGAAGAGATGAATGCACTGTTGGGTGGGTACAGGAGAATCATTGAGGGAGTATACAGCCTTTTGAAACCACTTAAGGTTGAGTTTTTCTCTTTCACTCTTTGGAAGGACCTCCAGCAACTCCGCTCCCAACCCCCCCACATGACCTCCTTCTCGCGCCGGTGGCACGTTGAACACCGGTGTTCCTCCCGTCTCCTTTCCCCCAACCGCCCAGCCGACGCCGTTTCCCCGTCCGGGTGCGCAGATGGAGCTCTCGGGGCGGACGATCACCGTGAAAGAACGAGCTGAAGAGGCCGAGTGGGTGAGGAGTGCGTGAGGATGCGGCATGGGCGGGAGTGGGAGTGGGCACGGGGGGGTCGCACTGGTCGGTGGGGAGGGGGGAAATGATGTAAAAAGAACGTTCCATTCGTTGGGATGGGACCTCCCTGTGGAGCGGAGCGACGCACCAGGAGTCGGTTGGATAGCAAGTCACAGGTGGAGCATAGCTAAGCAATCTGATGGTGGCTAATATAGTAGGTGTTTCAGGAATCCTTGATGCTCGCCTCAGCGCTTGTTTTGTGTTGTCGTCCGAAGAAGAGTCTTTAATGGGTTTCTCCGCCAACTGTCGAGGCTGGGCGCTTCCAGGTGTTTTCTTCCGATTTGGATGGAGCCGAACACATGAATGTCCCTTGGGACTGGGTCAGATGTCTCCACCTGATGCAGGCGAAGTTGGACTTCAGTGCGCTGGAAGGAGAGGGTGACAAGACTTTGCTGGAGGAAGAAGAGGAGGATGAAACCTGATGGAATTGAGCTGATGCTTGTGTTTGGTTCTCAGCATATGCTTCTCTAAGGTACATTCAGGAAAGGCACAGTACCTCTTCATCCAAGCAGATCAGACCCTTCCCTCCTTCAAGACATACAACAACCAACCAGTCTCATCTCCCAAGCTACTTTGGCCGGCCATCCATGGGTGAATTGCCTCACGACTTTTCTGCTCTTTCACCCCATCCCGGTCCCCCAAAAAAGCTCCTTGGGCAAGAAAAGCCGGTTTTCTCCCTTCGTCCGTGCAGTCGCCCAATCCAATTGGAGAAGGCCACCGGAGAAGCCAAGGACTGGGAGAACTTCGATTGGGAAGATGCCTCGGACGACTCCGACTCCTCCGACGAGGCACGTTCTGAACACCGGTTTCGGGGAGGGTCCTCCTGCCCTCAAGAGCGAACACGGGCGGGATGATGAGGACGGGCGCCAGGTTTTGGGAGGATGAACGTTTGTGCACGTCAATGAATCCATGTTACATGTAGCATGTTTTCCTCTCCAAGTTTCCCAGAAAGGCGCTTGTTTCAGGCACCCCTCAGAAATGGTGTTTGTGTTCTTTTTCTTGGACAAACCACAGTCCTTGAGTACAGGGTAGAAAGACGCACATCAGTACAGTCCAATACGCACGCATGACACAAAGATCAAAGCCATGAACGGCACGATACAAGCTCATGCATGCCGCATGCAGCACAACGGTCTAAGGTCAGGCATGACCTTTGCAAACACGGAACCGTTTCATCCAGAACAGAACCAACATGTCAATGTTGAAGACAGTGGCCGTTACACGTCTGTACTTTGTGCAAATTTGCAGATGTTTTGCGCTCGTTTCGCGTAATGTGGCGCGTGTTTCGCACAACCACTCTGGTCCCAAAGTAACATGTCTTAACTGGATAGAACTAGGGGCAAAATGGTCGCGCAAAACGGTGCAAAAGTCTAACCGACTAGACTACGAAATGAATGCTCATGTTCTCCATCGACCTGATATCATTAAATAACGCTTGGTGTTTGGGTTGTAAAAGCTCGACCAGGAATCGGCCAAGCTGCTTCTGAAGATCCTGGCAACAGGTTTCCTTACTGGCCTAGCAGACCATGAATCACTCAAAATGAATGCTTGCAGCCAAAATGCTGCAAAACACCAAACACATGCAACACACATGCAGATACGGAAGAAATCAGAAGACTCACGTTTGAGAAGCTGGAAGGACAATGAGTCCCGACTCCCACTTACCAACTTTGTGTGCCAAAACTTGGGTTGGTAGACCTTTCTTTTGTCTACCATATGCTGGTCCTGCAATGGTTTGATTTGGATTTGTACCCAAATGAAGGAACTCAACCCCCCAGCCCCGCCTACAATCTAGAAAACTATGCTTGAATGAACGATTCCTTTCGAGCCCTGCACCAGGATGATGAGGATGATGACTGGGATGAAGACGAAGATGAGGAATATCGGGGCAATGTGGTGGGCTTAGGTTCACCGTTTCCACAAATGGTAGACAGATGGTGTAACGGAAACATCAAATCATCAGATGAGGGGTGCTCGTGCAGATCCAAGCCATGATCCAACCAACGACTTGTTTCTCGTTGATGCTGATGTCCGATTTTTGGTTCTGAGGCACCTGAAGAAGCGGGGCAGGCTGGAGAGAGTTGCGGCCAATCACCAAGATGTTTTGAAGGTTTGGCAAATGGAGACTGGTCCTCTATTCTCACTTGTAGGGTGCTTGAAGAATTGAAGTATATAACTGGCCAAACATTCATCAATGAAACACTCCTACAATGAGAAGCTACCCTTAGAACCACGGCTTTAAGCTACCCTTGTCACCTCAATCCTTTTCAAATCTTGGTCCGACCCATCCTTTTGCTAGAAGATCCATCCCACATGGCCAAGTCAAACTAGACTTTGCTGCAGGCGGATGCCAAGGCGCTGGCAGTACCAAGCCAGCCAGAGACCTCAGATGTTTCTGTTTTGCCCTCGCAACCTATGGATGTCGCGCCGGCCATGCCCAAACAGCCTGCACTGCCGGACCAGTCTGCGGTGCCTGGGGCGGATGCAACAGCACCTGTGGCCGCGGCGCCTGAGCAGTCGATGGAGCTGGGACAGGTCACAGGAAGTGCCTCTGTGCTGCCACCAGTGCAACCAGCGGCCATCATGGAGGCGCCCACCAGCGCGCCGGACACTGTGGTGGACACTGGGCCGGTGGCGGGCGCCGCTATGGAACATCCGGTGGCTGCCATCGAGGCTCCCGCGCCTGCCATGGAGGCTCCAGCGATGCCCAAGCAGCCGATGCTAGCGCCACCTGAAGCGAAGATGGAGATTCAGGTGACTTGGAGGTGAAAAGATGTTCGAACGACCACTGCACCATGTTCAGTGAAGTTTTGGACCCCTAAACTTTTGGAGACTTGTCAGGAGAGATCTTCAAGCCAGCTCAAGCATGCTTAAGCGATATCCCCATGCATCAACGATTGGCCGGATTCTCCCTGGCAACTCTCGTGTTGTAGTCCAATTCAATGGAGTGCCTCCGATTTCCACTATATTCGAGCACCCAAAAGGTGTCCAAGCACCTTTTAGTCAAAAGTCGAAAGGCACCCACTGGATGATTTTCCCTCAACTTGGACCCGGTCGTTTGCCAAATCTGAACCAGCCACCAAGTTTTAAAGATGTTGTCAGCCACTGGCTTCCCTGAACCGCCTGAACTCTTGGCGGATTCCGCATGGGCACATCCAAGGCAGAGCCAGCTACTGCCTCATCAGCTGATGCAGCCATAGAGAGTGCAGAGAAAGCAGAGAAAGGCTGCTGGATCTTCTATTCGGGTGCACGGTCGATGGTTTGTAGCCATTTTTGTTTGGCATGGTGTAGGGAAGCTTTCAAACCACCAGATGCTGCAGGGTCTGGTGTTCGACATGTTCGATATCCTAAGTGCACTACTACTAGTAACAAGAAGCTACTAGGTTGGAGGCCATCGCTATTAGGTTGGAGGCCACTACTGCTAGTAACAAGAAGCTACTAGGTTGGAGGCAGTCTCTACTGG